AACGTGCGGTTACGGCTCTGTGCTGATAAGCAGGATGCTTTGGAAAAAGCATCTCCTGCTTTCTTACCCAAGTCAGTGTATCTGGTCCAGAAGAAGTGCCCGAGGCCACCAGAGCTGAGCTGGAATGAAGGCTCGTTCCTCTTCCTTAGCGAGGTGCCATTCTTCAGAGATAAGGCGGCATGCTCTGAATACCGGTAGGTGATGAAGCCGTATTTATCCCCCCTGAGCAACCAGAGAAAGAATTCAAGATGTGATGGGCCCTGCAGCACCTCTGACATGGCTCTGCCCAGCACTGCACCCCTATCCCTCCATCCTGCCATCTGTCCATCCTGCCAGCCCTCCATCCCGCGAGCCCTCCATCCCACCAGCCCTCCATCCCGCTGTCCCTCCATCCCACCGGCCCTCTCCATGCCCTTGGACCTGGGGACACACTGCATCTCCTGGCCCAAAGTGCCGAGACCATGGGCTCAGCTGACCGAGGGGGTTGGCATGGCACAGAGCACTTCACCCCACCAGCACAACCACATCACTCGTACACGCACAGCTGGATGCAGGGGTGACCCTGCACCACCTGGCAGCGCTGAAGCTGCCGCAGGAGAGGGGTTGCCCGTAGCCGCTGGAGCACCAGACTGAGGCTTGCTCAACACCCACCTGTTAGTCCTGGACAGGACCTGACACTCCACAATTTCACCAAACACTTCAAAGCGTTTCTTCAGTTCGCTAGAACTCATGCTGCTGGAGAGGTTTTTGATATACACCACCCGGCCTTCCCCCTGGCAAAGCAAGCAAAACGTTTCAGGCTCCGGGAGCCCCGTGCCTCTGTGCTGCCGATGGGCGCTGGAAATGCAGGGCTGCCGAGGAGCCCTGAGGAGCCAGCGCCAGGAATCAGGCTGCAGCACGGTGATGCTGCCGCAGGCACAGCCTGACATCTCTGGGGTCTGGCTGTCTCCACTCCAGCTAGCTCACGGGTTTCACCCCCAGGACACCAGTGCTGCAGGGGACAGCCATATCCATGTCCCTTAGGACAGTGTTACAGCCAGGCTGAAGCAGCCGCCCCCGCCTTCTTCTCGTTTACATTTCTCCTTCACTCCTGCAGCTTTTTCAGCTTCTCCTGGTGAAGATGCCAGGAAATATTCCCAAGAATTGCTAGGGACAAAATTCAATTGCATTGCAGAAAAAAATGCCAGACGACTGTGTGAGCGTGTGTGTGTGTATGCACAACAGTAGAGAGGACCAACAGTTACTTCCCCACATGCCCACCACCCTACCCAGCTCCCACCCGTGGGCACACGCAGGGTTCCCAGTGCACGAGGCTGCCTCTGCAGCAGGACCGCATCCATAACGGCTGACCAGCTTCAGGGATTCCCCAGCTCACCCCGCTAATTGCCAATGCCACGTGTGCTGAAGCACCAGCGTAGGATGCTCCGGGCATTTCTGTGCCAAGAACTCCATGTATTGCCAATTGCCAGTGGCTTCCCCTTCACGTTAGGTTTTTGTCTCCCTCCTCCACCCCCATGTCCTCGTTTAACACTGGCCTCGCACCAAGGGATGCTGAAGCCAGGGCTAATGGGCTCCACCGCTGCTTTTCTGGACTAAGAGATGAACTGAGGCCTGGGGATTGCTTTGTCCCAGCGCGGGGTCCCTGCTCACTTACGATGGCCTTTTCCCGTCTCTTCTCCAGCTGGCCCCGGTGCTCGCTCCCGCCCTGACACTGCTGGCCATTCTCACACCTGGGAAGTGAGGGAGAGGAGGTCAGCCAGGGGGAAAGCTCCAAACATCAAAGAGAAGCTGAGGCACATGGCATCTGCAGCAGCGGGCAGGCACTCGGAAGCACCGGCAGCTGAGGAGAGATGGGTGTCTGGAAACACTGGAAAGGACACTGGAAAGTCCTTTCTGATAGATGCCAGAAGGGGTTCCCAGCCGGTGCTTGCCCCTTCCCAGGCATGGCTCCGGCCCCTGCCCATGCTCCATCACCCCCAGCGCAATGGAAATCCCTAACTGCTTCCCTCCGGTGCTGCTTTCTCTGGCCATGGCTGATGTTTTCAGCAGCTGCTGATATAGTACCAATTATTTCAATGGTTTTTCTTTCATTAATTAGTGTCTTTACTACTTGGGCTAGCAGACCAGAGAGAGTCAGGGCTGCCACACACCAGGGCAAAAACACAGGATGCAAGAACAGTCCCAAGTGCCCCCTCCCACCACCCCCTGTACCTGAAGGTCCGTCTGCTTGCGGGCGATCGGGACCGGCAACACGAAGACCCCGAGCTGGACCTGCTCCGGGAACAGTAATGCAAACTGGTCCGGGAAAGGGGGTTTCTTCGCAGGCACAGCTTGGTGTCGCTGTGCTCCTCCTCTTCTTCCTCCTCCTCCTCCTCCTCCACAGGGGAGCTGCTTTCACTGCAGCTGTCTTCAAAGACGGTGTCGTACTCAGGGGTCTTGCAGAAGACCATGTCCTCGTCATCAAGCGTACTGTCCAGAAAGCCAAAGTGCTTCGTTAAGCTGGCTCTGATCTCCTGGTCTCTCAGCTGCTTGACACCATCCTTCCACAGCATCTCACCGCCCGCCTCCTTGCTGCCGAGGTCCAGCCCCTGGTAGTGGGCGGCTGGGACCCTCCTCTTGTGCTCCATCTCCACCTGGCCCAGGGGCTCCCACGACTTGAGCACCTTCCTCTGCAGGGCGGCCTCGGGCTTCAGCACCTGGCAGTAGTCGTGGTCCCCGAAGGAGCGGGAGAAGGGCCGCTTGAGCATGCCCTGCTGCTCGGGGAGCGCGGGGCGCCCCGCGGCTCGGCTCAGGTGGGCGAAGAGCTCTGTCCTCTCGGGGTGCTTCTTGGGGGCTTTTTGGGAGGCTGCCATGTCCCCTGCATCCCCGGGGCTGGGGGCTGTCCCGTCCTCCTTCCCTGGCTCCTGGGGGATGTCTGGCTTGTACAGGTCCTCCTCGGCGGGCTTGTACGGTGGAGTGGTCGGTGGCGTGAGACCTGAACCCCCCCCCGAACAAAGGGCAGGAGTCACCTCTGCCCCCACCATCCTGCCTCATCCCACCCTGACGCCTGAGCTGCACCAGGCATTGCAAGGGAGGGAGGCTGCTTGGCCCCCACAGCCTCATCCATCCAGTGGCACTTGGGGAAAAAGGATGCCTGATCCCAGAAGGCACCAGAGGACTCTCCCTTCCCTCCTGGCTCATGCAGCGGCCCCCTGAACTGCTTCCCCATTCCAGACGCATCCCCCCAAGCACTGGCATCTCTGAAGGATGCAGCTTGTGAGCTGCTTGCAGTGCTTGGATGTGGAGGCAGCACACGGGAAGTCCCCTGCATTTGCGGTGAAAAGGGGGACTCCCAGGCTGGGGGATGAATATGGCCACTTGGCTGGGTTCAGCTGGAGCCGGCAACTCAGGCTGAATTTAGGGTAAATTTGCCCCCTCCCAGGGAGGATTTTTGCAAAATCAAAAAATTAAAAGCCTGTCCTACCTGCCGTCCCACACAGCTCCACTGTCAGCATCGGCTCAAAGTTTCTCTTCCCAAAGGTCGGGTCACTGGAGAAGAGAAGAAAATAAGGAGAGAGAAGGTATTTACGTGAACCACAGTCCCCAAAAAACAGAAGGAAGCTGAGAAAACGCTGCCTATAAGCGAGCCCTCCCACCACAGCTAGTGCCTGACGGAGTAACCCCGTGGAGGGGCGCGAGGGGCAGTAGGGTGAGCAGCGTGCCCTCCCCGTCCCAGCCAGCTCTCCAGGGCATGCTGCCCCCACACAGAAATACCCTGCCCTCGGCCTGGGGTTCTCCAAGCTCCTTGCACCTGAGAGAGGGCCGCAGCTCCCCACAGCCCCGCGCCCAGCTGCATGGCTTGGTCTGCTCTGCAAAAGCAGCTTCGCTTGGTCACTGCGGATGCATGTCCAGCCAGACAAACCGAGGCACGTTTCCAGCCCCGGCGCGGTTCATTTAGCCCTGTGCGCACTTACGTTTGTGCCAAGGACAGCGTGAGACACCTGGGTGTTTCTGAAAGGCAGGGAGAGAAGCAGGGTTACCAGCGGAGCTGTGCTCCCTCCAGTGCCCGCGGTGCTCGTGGTGGGAGCCAGGGCCCCTCTGCCCACCCTGGCCTGGCGGGGGGCTGGGGACCATGGGCTTTGCCTGCCTGCGAGGCAGCAGCGTCTGTGGGAGGGCTAACACTGCCAGGGTTGAGCCATTTGTGCTCACCAAGCGCTTGTGGATAGCTGCGATTTTGGGGCACCGGTGCAGCTGAACCCCAGTGCCCAGGCACAGGACGAGCCTGCAGGGAAGAGGGACCCGGAGGGATGGGGCAGCCCGGTCCCTGCTGGGTTAGCGCTACACCGACTCCTGCATCTTGTTATAAGGATGGGAAAACTGAGGCAGAAGGCCCCCATAGATTGAAACAGCACCCCAAAACCAGAACAGGGCCCCAACTCCCCATGCATGGGACCCCACAGGCACATGGGTCAGGGTTCGGCTGTGCTTGGGGCTGCTCACAGCTTCACTGCCAGCTGAGTGCCAGGTGCCTGGCCAGCAGCGCTCACCCATGGCAGGGATGGCATGGGCAGCGTGGGTGCACTGGGGAGGGGTGAGCAGAACGACAGACCCCAGCCCCCCTCACCTGCTTGCTCCAGGAGGGCACAGCGTCGGCTCTCAGCCCTGTCGCCCACCTCACTGTCCCCCAGGGAGCCCAGGGAGAGGGGCTGGGGCTCTGCTGGCTGTGCCGTGCTCCCGCCGTCTCCCTCCTCTGTGCCCCCCACCTCCACTTCGGCCGCGGGCTCTTCAGCTGAGAAGCCCTCCAGCGCTGGGCACGGTGCAGGCTCCCTGCAGGCCAGGGCGTGCCGGGGACCACGGCTGTCCCCTGCCTCCCGGGGCACGGAGGGCTCAGGGGGCGGCTCGTCAAGGAAGGAGAGCCAGTGGCTGAGCTCAGGGTTGAGTCTCTTGGACCGGCGGACGGCGTAAACTGTGCTCTCCTGCTTGCGGGCCACCTTCCCCACGGCTGTGCCCGGGGCACCCGCATGCTTCCCAGCATCGTCCTCGAGGCCACCCAGCTCCCGTGGTGCCTCTGCCTCGGCCCCAGGGCTCTGCCGCGGCTCGCCCTTCTCCGGTGCTGTTTTGGCTCTGGATGTGCAGGTCCCACCAGCATCCTCCCTGTCTTGGGCTGGTGGCACAGGGGAG